ATTTCCAGTCAATTGATCAAAAGTCAACTGCACACTGAAAAGTCAAACTTTGACTTTTTGGTCAAAATCCAATGTCAAAGATCACAATTAACCAAAATATGAAACTTATTCATCAAGAAATCAAAAAGTCAAGATTTCATTTTGAAAATTCAAAGTTTTCTAACTTAGAAAATTTTCTAAGTGTTTAAAACTTCATGTTTTTACAAGCCATTTCATGATGAACAAAAATTCAAATCCAAGTCTAGGCTGCATAATCTTTGCTTTCTAGGCCTCAAAATTGTTTGTCACTCCATAACTAAATGTTTACACAGCTAATAGAGCTTTAATCCAAGCACTTGAGCCTTTATCAAAGTTACATTTCCATTTATGGCACAAAGTTGCCATTTCCATTTTGATAAAGCATCACTTTTGCAATTGTCAACTCCTTGAGCTTTGCACTTGTTCTTTCTGAACACACAACCCATATAAACCAAAAGCAATGTGTCTAAAGCCTCTTTGAACTCATAACATGCTTTTACAACACTTTGAGATTTGTCTTCTCACTTTTCTTCAAAAGCAAGTCATAAAGCCAAAAGGCTAGAACTCAGAAACCATGAGTGCATTTGATCTCTAACCTTTTCCATACATATACACAAGTCTATTGCAATATAACACACGAATGCTAAGACCCCAAAACACTCAAAAGCACTCTGCAACTCAGAATCTGCCATAACTTGACAGTTTGAAACCTTACATAGCCATCTTAAAATCCACTCATGCGTATTGAGTTTTAACCATCTAAACACTTAGTATACATCATATTAAAGTGATTCAGGCCCCTGTTTCCTGACTGTAACTTCTCCATCACTATCCACCATTTCCAAATTTGAAGCTTGCAACTTGACTTGAGTTAAGAGTTTCAACCATCCTCAAAACAAAGTAGGAGTTGGAACACAATTAAGGAGGTCCGGGCAAGCTACAAAAATCATCAGGCCATCACAAAGGTTGCTCAAACTCCGTACATGACTCTAGCTGCAAGAGGTAAGTTTTTAAACTTCTATCTCTTCATACAAGCATCATTTGATTATGATTTGTGAAGATAAAATATAGAGACCATTGCCACAAAGCTATACATATCCATAATTTTCATTTATATGACCTGTGAGCTTAGAGAATTTTAGATTTGAAGTTTCTGAAATTTTTAGGTTTTAAATTAGGGCCAGAAAAATTCTCATTCATCTTTGATTGTTAGCTTAAGTTGTTTACATGGTTGGATTTGTGGGAAGAAATACCACAACTTTCATGTTTGAATATTTCATTTTTGTTGAGAGATGAAGAAGTTACATATCCTTTGACTGGAGGTTGAAGATTAAGTGTAATCAGGGCGCGTTTTGTGTTATGTATTTATCCTTTCACACAAGTTAACGGATGTATCACCACCATAGTGGTTAAAGCGCGCGCCTGTCACCCTTAGGTCCTGGGTTCAAGCCCCAGCGTGACCTTTTGTTATTTTTTTTATACTTTTTTGCAGCGTTTGGGCTTTCATGTGGGTCTGATCTTTTTTTCTCACAACACCCCTTGCATTACTAATCCACCTCCCTGACTTTTTTAATTTATTTTATTTTATTTTATCTTTTATTTATTATTATTATTAATACTATTATTATTATTATTACTATTATTATTATTATTACTATTATTATTATCATAAATCATAAAAAAATCCAAATTTATTTATTATTTATTATTTATTATTTACTATTATTATTTATTATTTATTATTTATTATTATTACTATTACTATTATTACTATTACTATTATTACTTATATATATTATTTTCTCTATAAAACAAAAAGACTAAAAAATATTTTCTTAAACAAATTAATTTCTTTTTCTTAAATAATTAATATTTAGACTTAGGCTTAATTGTTATTTTTATTTATTATTTTTTTATTCAAAATTAATTTAGAACTTAGGTTTATTTTAATTAATTAATTTTCATATTATTTTTATTAAGTTAAAACCTTTTCAAAAAAAAAAAACCTAAAATACATTTTAAAACTTAATTTCCTTCTTAATTAATTTAGGTTTCAATTTTATTTATTTTTATTAATCATCTCACTTAATTAGGTTAAAACCCCTTTCATAAAAACAACAAAAATCATTTCTTTTTCCATTTATATTCTTGCATTTTATTTTCAATTTTGTACAATATTCAATATGGTTGTAATAGATAATTAGGTTTAATTTTCTTGCAATCCCCATTTGTTAATTTATACACCCCCTCCCCTAATAATGTAATAGCGTAGTAATTTTACTTTTCGCAATTTATTGCTTTATATAAATGCTAGTAATTAGGGTTTGTATGAAAAGATAAAATCAACAAGTAGCAAACCCTAATTCAAGATAAAAACCAAGCATGAAAATCAATACACTTGCACACAAGCACCCCTAGGGTAAAATCCACTTGGTTGCCTTACAAAAATGACCATATTATGCATGTGAGATATCTTAGCAAAAACAAACAAAATACAAGATCATAGTCCCTCGATGACGCTATCTATGCTGCCTTTCAAAATGATCTTAGTTCCTAAAGAAAAATGATAAGATACCTTGCAACATTACTAATCATGGTTATACGATGACCCGCTCTCGTCCCGTTTACATCCAAAGATAGGGTTACTTACCAAATCAATGGTAAGATAACAATGTCAAAGGAAAAAGGAAATGAACATGAAAGATTTTTGAGTAGGTAGAATGTTCCTAGTTACTTGCTCCATTTCAAAACAAAAATATCCTTGTTATTTTCAAAAATAAACACCAACACTTTCAAAACATCTTTCAAAACTTGAAAACATTTTCAAAAGATCAAACACTTTGTATACATTCTTACGAACGAGAATCATTACGAAGTTTGCCTAAACAATAACCTCTTTTCAAAAATACTTTCAAAATCACACAAAGCACAATTTCAAACAAAAGCAAGTGATCTAGCAAGTAACTAAGAGTCCATGGAAAACCATGGATGAAAAAGGTGCTAATACCTTCCCTTTTCATAATCTACCCCCCAAACTCAAGAAAAAATCTCAAAGGTCTTTCCTGTGCTTTTTCACCTTTCCTTTTGGATAAAAAAAGTCGGTGGCGACTTTTGCTAACCGCAACATTTGCGATCAAATGTAAAATACCCAAGTCAGTTCTTCAATCGTATCACAGTGAGCGACTGAAGTCTTGACATCTTAACTTTGGATGTGCCTTCGTGAGTAGATTGAAGAATTCTCCATGCATCCTTAGCTACTTCACATGTGTTCACTAATCTGAAAATGTTCTTGTCAATTTCATTGAATATAGCATTCAAGGCTTTAGAATTTCCAAGAGCAATTTCCAAGCTCTGTTGTTCAAAGACTTTAAGAAGGCAACCATACATGGTTCCCAATAGTCATAATTACTTCCATCCAAAATGGGTGGTCTGTTCATAAATCCTCCTTCCTTATCCATAGTACCAGAAAGTATTTTTCCTGGATCTCACCTAGATATAGAGCATGATGCCTGTTCTGATACCAATTGAAATTCTGGTATCATATATGTGAGGTCGAAGGAGATGTCACGACACAAATATCTGAGGACAAAGTAAAGTGAAACAATAATAAAAGCAGTAAAAACACAACAGATTATTAACCTAATTCAGTGTACAACAACACCTACTCAGAGGGCTACCAAGCCAGTGACAAGTCTACTAAATAGTATCAATTCATAGACTCTCAGTAAACAATCAGTTTACAATCTAATCACTTAATCACTACCCGTGCTATACTTCTACCTAAGACACTCTTAGGTATGAGGTCCTTCTCAAATCTCTTCAATCACTTACAGTGAAGAAATAACTGAAATAATAAGTTTTAAAGACTTGAATCATTCAATATTTAAAAGCTTATGAATGATACATAATTAACAACCCAAATAACAACTCAAGTATTAAATCAATACTAGAGTGTTTGACAATTAAAAGACTTAGACTTCTAAAACATAAAGAAAGTATTCTTCTTCAAAAGTTGCAGTTGTATGAATAAAGAAGCAAGTCCTTATATAGGCGCACCAGTGGGCTTGGGCTGAAAAACAAATATTCAAATATTTTGAATATTTCTATAAAAACATGCCAAAATATAATCCATAAAGATAATTCAAAAAGAAAAATATTCCTCCATATTTTTCGCAGCCTATGAGTCACAAATCCTGAATTATGGCGCGCATGAAAACAAGAAACAAAAAACTTAAACTGATATTGGACTGAGTTAAGTTCAGGAGGCAGATGTCAAGACATCTGCTTTGACATCATTCAAAACAGTTTGCTTCAAATGTCAATACATTTAGCAAAATATTATCAAGTCATTGTTTTATCAAAATTGCTGCCAACAAACAGTTACAGTTTCCACATCTGCTTCAACCTATCATTCATAAAATGATAATCCACGTTCTTCCCAAGGAGTTTAATGACTAGTGGCATCATTCTAAGGGCTGCATAGTTCTTGAAAAAGTTTCTCATCCACCGTGACCTTTGGTAACAATCAGTTTCCTCCTTTAAGAGAGACTTTTATAAATCTCTTTTCAATCAGGTCCACTCTCTCTTTCACAGTAGTGACTCCTCGACCTTTAATAAGAATATCCAAGAACGATAATCTAGAAAACTTATATGCATCTCTATCTAGTAGCTTGATCGACAACAACAATATAAAAACGACAAATACAAAAGACTCCACACAAAGTTTCTCCGCTATTCAAAAATTGTTGTTATTACCATTTAAAAATAGTTTGAATTCATAGAATACGTTATATCTCTCCCTTAGCATATATATTTTTGTTATTTAAATACAAAAAAGAAATTAAAAACCAAATACTATCTCCTAATTTGTGTCACCAAACGCAAAACCTAAAACCCAAAACCCACAACTGCACAACCACTTGAGCAGCAAAAAACTTCATTCCCCGTCGCAGACACGGCTGTTCAAAGCTCTCACCGTTCCAATGGCAGCTTTCGACCACTTCGGAGACATGTACGATGTTGCACTCAAACCACGTTTGCTCAACACTCTCATCAGCGACTACCTCCCTACCGTCGATCATCCCTTTTCCAACCCTTCCGAGCTCTCCAAAGTTGTCTCTTTGATCAAAACGCATTCTCTCCTATCTGAGGATGTAACAGATTCCATGGAGAGTAAACAAATTAAAGCTTGGAAAGTGTCTGTTACTTCATGGGTCGATCGTGTTTTGCTCCTCCTTTCTAGCCATTCGGTAAATTTCGTTGCTTTTCACTACTATGCTTTCTGGGTATTCAACAGTTTCTTTAGAAGAGAGTAAATTATTAACTTTTCGGGTTTTATTTTATTTTTAATGAATTTTGGGTCTGTTTATTTGAGCCTATATACTGTTATAATCACCTGTGAGACTGACTAGCTGGGAGCATTATGTAAATAGCTTATGACATGTATATAAACAGTTTTGAGCTTATTTCCATAAGCTCTCACTGATATGCTTATGAAAATAGCTTATCTGTTATAGAAATAACATATAAGAACTTAAAGATAAGTGCTATAGTAGCTTAATTAAGTTGTTTATCCAAACATATTCTTAAGTTTTTTGGACATTTGGGTGAAAGCAATTTTGTTATGATTTATTTGTCACAAATGTCTTGGAGTTATTTTGATGTGAAGTGATTACACTTGAATTTTGAAGTATTTTTGTGGTTATTCACTTTGAGCTGACTAAGTTGAGCAATTGGAATGACCGGGTTTTCCTTTTTTTTTCTTCTTCAGCCTGATAAGCGATGGGCAGGAATATCTTTGCTAGGGGTTACTTGTGAAGAGTGCAATTCTGATCGTTTCCAAGAATCTTACATTGTGTGGTTTCAGAAGTTGCTGACTTCTCTACAGGTAATTAGTTGTTCTTTTGTCACGGCTGCACTTAATTCACTTACTAGATTTCTTGTATTCCTCCTTTTGAGAATACATCAATTATTGTTCAGTGCATGTTTGTAACATCCTTTGTGTTGAAAGTCAATGTGGCCTTAAAGAGTGGTTTTGTAAGGTTGAGTTAGTCCCAACCCAAATTTTAAAATGGTATTGATATCTAAGTCTATCCTAGATTCATTGGACCACCCACATTTGGACCACAATTGAGTCACACTCCAATCCTTGTCGCGAGGAGTGTGTGTTAAGAGTCTCACATTTGATGAGATATGACCTTAAAATGTGTTAATAAGTGGGAGGCATCCCTCACCTTATAATCTATTTTGTAGGGATGATTCGGGCCAAATTTTAAAACTTTTTGCCGTGGACAAACTTATAGATGAATAGTGTTACCTTGTTGCTCTAAATTTGACGCAGGAACCGAATTCGGTACTATAAAATTGACATTATCTTTATCCAATGGATGTCATATGCGTCATATCTGCCTTAGTTGAATCACTTAGACTTCATGTACACTCAAACATGGATGCCCCTTGTTTATATCTACAAATTTCTGAAATAAAATCTTAACTTGTACGCAATCATGATTTGTTCCATGATCTTTATATAAAACAGTCGCCGGAAGATTCTCATATAGTGAGGGTGGCTGCTTGTGCTTCCATATCTGATCTGCTTGCAAGGTTAGATATTTATTTTCTTACTAGAAAAAGTCCTATTGTTTGATTCAATTATTGGAATACAATGTATTATTGTTCATGTTTGGTGCTGCTTGATTGATCCGTTCGTTGATCTCTCCCTCTCTCTGTCTGCTTACTTGTATTAACTTTCTTTTGTAAACATTAGGTTAAGTGGATTTCCCAAGCTCAAGAAAGATGGGTCTGCCTCTGCTGTAAAAGTTGTTCAGCCTGTTCTAAAGATGTTACATGATGACAACTCAGAGGAAGTATGGGTAAGTTATTAATTCGAATATTATTTAATTTTTAGCTTCAATTCGACATAAAAGGTTTTCATCATACAACGGATGGAAGTATTTTTAGTGCTTACATACTATTTTTGTGTCAAAAGTAACAGTGATATACTTTACATTCCTGTAAAGTAGTTGAAGGAGTAGTTCTTGTTTTGAAGTATATGTATTGTGCTTAGAGTTGCATTTAAACATTGATGTAAAACATATGTTGATAGATCATAGATGGAATGGAATCATTGCATTCATCTCATAAAGCTTAGTTAATAGAATATTTTATGTTGTTTGCATGCTCTTTGTAATAGACACTACTTTCTATGTCATTCATCATATATCTGCTTTTTGCGTAGACATAAATTATCTGCTATATTTGATTATGAGTTTTATTCATTATTCAAATTGTGGTAAATGCAGGAAGCTGCAATTCATGTGATATGTACCTTGATAACTTCATTCCCATTTTCTATTCAGCGTCATTATGATAGTGTAAGCTTCTTCTTCCCTTGCTGCAAGATTTCTTACATGCATAATTCATTATATATGACTTGGAATTTGTTTCTTGTATGAAGTCCACAACTTCCTTTAATACTACCTCTGTCCCTAATTATAAGATCCTTTTGAGTTTTTTTGTTGTCCCTTTTTATAAGACCCTGTTCAACTTTCAAAGTGCATTAGTTATTTTTTTTCAAACACACCCCTAATTATATTACATCTTTTTCTGCAATCAGTAATAAATACATTTGTATAAACATCAATTATTTCTCTGTCCCGAGGATAAACTTGTAAAATTTTAGAAATAATCAATAAATTTTATACTCTAACCAACTTTCTTAATTAGCGTAATTTAGTCTACGGGGTCTTATATTTAGGGACAGAGGTAGTACTTAACAAGAGCAAGAACTTCCAGGCTAATTTAAATCATGATTTCTGTTAGGTGGACAAGCAGGGCATGGAGAGCTCCTTCGTGTTTACCCTTTATATAAAAGAATCATACAATGTACAAGTGAATAGGGATGAACATGCATGGTTATAATAATTGCACATTTTTTAGACAATGATGTTTTTGCAGTTTGTATCTGCACGTGTACATGTGTTGATTCGGTTTTCTTTATTGAGTCCAAGACTCTTTGGTGCATCTCTGTGATCTGCATGATTAAAAAAGAAGGGGCGTGGTGTGGTTGCATGTAATCTGTACCAGTTTTTCCTGCTTCTCTTATGAGGAAAATGTGCATTAGAGTTTTGTTGTTGCTGTATTCATGATTTGACGAGTGTTTGGTATTTTATGCAGGTTGAATCTGCTATTGCTGTTAAACTTGTGTCTGCAGGATGCAGTCATGATATGATGAAGGTAATGTGATTATCAAATTTTTAAGAGCCTTTTCTAGGGTATGTTTGGGTTGTTGCCAACTTGCCAAGTTGATATGAGAGTAGATGAGGGGGACAAAACGGGTCTTTGGCAGGATCCTAAGAGAAATATATTAGAACAAAGTTGAAAATTATGTGTTATTTGATCTGTAACTTGTTATTACTAAATTCTTGCTCCCAATTCTATTTGTTCTGTGATGTTTTTCTCACAAAACAAGAGAATTTGAAGTTAATGAGAAATATGTGGAGAGTATAATGCTCTGACTGTGAGCACTCATTAATTAGTTTCTTTTCCTCTTGTTTAGAAGGATGCCTCATCCTTAACATTAGATTCTCGTTTTTGGGTGGAAACTTTCTCTGATATATGCTCATAGCCACATTTTGTCGCTCTCTGTCGTCTGATTTGATATTGTACTTCCAGAAACTTGCACATTGCCTAGCATTGCTTCCAAAATCAAAAGGAGATGAAGAAAGCTGGTCTGTGATGTTGCAGACAATTTTGATTTTAATAAATGATCAATTAAATTTAAAGTTTGAAGGTCTAGAAGAAGGTAGATATTGGTGCTATGTTTCACCAAAAAAAGATGTTGGTGCTACGTGTTTCATTAAATCCACTCTTAAAAAATAGGTCGTGACCATCCTTTTCCATGCATCACAGATTACATCCGAAAAGAGTTCAATGGATTGTTGATTCTGCCCGGGAAGCAACCTCCACCACCTTTAGGAGGCCATGTATCCACAAAAGAAGCTAGTGGCAACCCAACAAAGAGGTCTAAACAATCACGAACGTCTAGCGTCTCTACACTTATGTCTAGCTGTTGCATGCTGCTCACAAATGCTTATCAAGTTAAGGTATTGTTTAATTTATCCAAGTATGTTCCTACTTTCAGTTCTGTGAATTTATCTTAGACTTAGTTTGGGAGAAGAATGTGGAAAGTAATGTGATTTAATTGTTAGGTGAATGTACCTGTTCGCCTATTATTGGTCCTTGTTGAGAGAATTCTGATGGTAAATGGCGCTTTGCCAGAAATGTCGTTGCCATTCATGACCGCCAGACAGCAGGAAAACATTTGTTCAGAACTTCCAGTATTGCATATGTGTAGCCTGGAATTGCTTACAGCTATTATAAAGGCTACAGGCAGGTATGGCTGTACAATATTCATACCCCTTCCCTTAATCTAATGGTGTTCAAACCTGCTCCCGTGCATGATTTCCATGTTTCTTCTGATATATGTTTTATATATTCCTTTCTTGAAAGAATGCAGAGTTCTAATCATTGCCCATATTTATATTGCAGTCAACTATTACCACATGCTGCCTCTATTGTACGTTTGATTACAAAGTACTTCAAAACATGTGAGCTGCCAGAAATAAGGATTAAGGTTTATTCAGTTGCAAAGATTCTGCTCATTTCCATGGGTGTTGGTATGTGAAATCTCTTAACTAAGTTCCTTTCTTTCTGGTCACAGTTTACCAATAGCGGCTGCCACGCTCTCTAGCTATAGCAATGTGAATTAGTGGAGTGGCCATTAGCAGCCCTAATCACATCCAAATATTGGCACTATTGAACAAATCAGAGGATGGACCTCGAAAACCTGAAACACTTTTAAAAAGAGATGCTTTAAATGGGGGTATTTTGGGGTTTAATTTCTTTATAAGTGGAAATGTTTTTACCTAAAATCCTCTTGCAGTTTCGCTGAATTTGTTTGTTTCCCCTTCCTAGCTGTTTGACTAAGCTATACATTTAATATGACCATACATAATGACCTTTACCGATTAATTATATTAAACAGGAATGGCTTTATGCTTGTCAAAGGAAGTTGTCGATAATGCCATTGCTGATTTGAGCACCATAGAGAAGAAGAATGTAGGCATGCCAAATGGTTCTAATACTGACGTCTCCCCCGCAGCGCTGCAACCAGCAAGTAATAGAAAAAGGAAGCATAGCAGTACAAATGGATCCCTTCAGGAAAATGAGGCAGGTGGTGTTTTAGGAGTAGAAATTCTTAAGAAATGTCGGGTGGCTCCAATTTCTCTGAGGATAGCTGCACTTGAGGCATTAGAGGCTCTTCTTACTGTGGTATGTATCTTTAGTTTGAAATAACTAATGTTCCTTCGTAAACCTTTCCCTACATTTAATGCTTATTCTTGTTCATAGTTTTTGCTGTAATTATATGGTTGGATGGAATGAAAAATGTCAGTACAAATGAGAGCTATAGACTGCTTCTTCTATTGTGATTCCCAACCTTGCTCCCTCTAAGATATTCTAAGACACTTTAACATTGTGGTCAAATATTCTGGTGCTGTTAGCAGTAATTTTTTTAACCTCTAGTAACTAGTAAGTTTGGTTTCCCCTTAATAGCTATCTGAGAAGTTTGACTATAAAATTCTCGCATGAGATCCATCCATGGAGTTCGCTTTAATTTTAAGTGTAAATCGAACAAACCCTTGATAGTGGAAATCTTAATTTGCTTCTCAATTTTAAAGGGACTACACGTTTTATTATTTTTTTACAGGCTGGCGCTTTAAAATCACAACAGTGGAGATCCAAAGTCGATAGTCTTTTGATAACCATAGCAACGGATTCTTTCAGAGAAGGTTCATCAAGTGAAGAAATAAATGTGTTTCAGAAAAAGGATCCTGCTGCAACTGCCACAGATTTGCAGCTTGCTGCATTGCGTGCTCTTTTGGCGTCTTTTCTTTCTGCGTCGCGGCCCCCATATTTATCACAGGGCCTTGAACTTTTTCGAAGAGGTACTTATATCAATGATTCAATATGAACTCTGTCTCTATTTGCCTGAATATAATGAAATTTATGTCATTGCAGGAAAGCAACAAACTGGAACAAAGCTTGCTGAGTTCTGTGCTCATGCTATGTTAACCTTGGAAGTGCTTATACATCCCAGGGCACTTCCTTTAGTCGACTACGTCCCTCCAAACAACGATACTTTTCGTGAAACTCAGTTCAGTTACCGAGACGAATATGTTAGCCGAAACAACAACACTCAATTTGGTTTTCCTCAAGCAGAACCTCCGGGCTCCCGTGAAAATCAATTTACCGACTATTTGGCAAATGGGGATGATGAGATGGGTAGGTTATGGACCGAAAATACAAAAGAAACCAAAGAGTCTTCTGAAGTGGCCACACCCCTGCCTTCCAGTGCCAACATCCAAGAGAGGAGTGAGATGTTACCCGAGTCTGCCACATGTGCAGATGTTGAGATGAGAACCGCCGATAACGATAGCGAAACCACATTCAAGTCAGATCATCCTGGAGAATCTGTAGCACAATTTCAAGAACCCGTTCCTAGCCAAACAAGCAATGCCACCGTCATTGACATTCGCAGGGTTGTTAGAGACAGCACTCTACCTCATAATGAAGCCAATGATTTGGATTTAGCTTCCAAGAGCAAAAGTCCAGTGCAGACATCAGACACTAATTTGGTTCAGCAATTTGCAGTTAAGAAGTTTGGCGATTCAGTGGACGATGAATATGAACCTTTTCCTGAAATTGTGGATGGAGATCCCGATTCTGATTCCGGATCCGAATAAAATTTTGCAATTTCTTTCCATTTAAAGAGACACAAGTCAGGGCACTAACAATATTTTATTCTATTTTCTTTTGTACGTTTTCATTAGGTAATGCTGTAAGCAACATTTTTGACCGATCAACCATATATTTAGTTTCTTTTTTAAAGGGTTGTGAATTACATGTCTTTAGTTTCTGGTAAGACAATAGTGGAGTATGTGTTGTTTGTTTGAAGAAATACAAAAATACTGACAGTAAGTTACACATCAGTTAAACTAAAATATTAAGAGTATCATTAAATTATGGACATTAATTTTTTAGCATAATAATTTTCATAACGATTATGTCTAATGACAATCTGAGGGTGTGTTTCACTTGTAAAAATTTGTGGATTTCTTAACATGTGTATTTAGGATACCATTTATTTTCTATCATTGATGAAAATTGTTATTTCCAATTATTATTAAACCAACACAATACAAATTATATATCATCATTCTCTCCACTACTAATCTTTACTCCTTTTTCTTCTTATTTCTTGCCGAGCAAGCAAACTCTTGCTCTAATAGATTTGATATCTTGAGCTTGGTTCTTGATTGTGTAGAACACACATTTATAAATTTCTCAATCATTACCAACTCAGTAAAAAATTTGGGAGAGATCACACAAACAAATGAAGACTTTGTTTGGCTATTAAAGCACTTGAAGTGGTTGCTAACGATGTTCAATAACTCCAGATAATGGTGATGATGCAGGCAAGATAGTACAAGATAACTCTGATTAAGGCACTATAGTATTTATGGATGCATTGTCTCAAGATCAATATAGAGTTGGATCATAGTTTCTAGATACAAACTGCTCAAACCATATGACAGGTCACAAGAAGGAGTGATGAAATATCTTAAATCATTGAGGATGCACTGTTTGTACTAAGAATGAAATTCAATTTACTAAGTGTTGGACAACTTATAGAAAATAATTTCTTAGTAATTATGAAGAAGAGTTTCCATGTTCCATACATGGAAAGGAATAGTTTCTTAGTAATTATGAAGAAGAGTTTCCACGTTCCGTACATGAAAGGAACGCCCATAATATAAACCCATAAGCTAATATTATTCACTATCCTAGATGAAGGCCACAAAACTACATTCTTTAAAAATTGATAAAAAAAATTTAATAGCACCAAATCAATAATTTCAATTTTCTCATCTGAATTTAAAGATATCACGAAAACTTTGTCCCCTCCCAATAAAGCCACACAAACGAATGAAAAATTCAAATCAAATATTTTTTATTGCAAACTGTCATATTCTAAATTTGTCCGCTCTTAGTGTTATCATCAAATTTATTTTCGAACTTGAATTTTAAAATTTCTTTGGTTTAATTACATTAATATTTTGGAATTTTATAAATATTTATTCTCAAGTCCAGTTAAAAATATATTAATTTATTTTAAATTATTTGTATTTTTAAATAATAAATACTTGCTCGTCTTCGTGTATTTTCAATTGACTCTTTATTTTGAATAAGTAACATAACATAGTTGGTAAAGAATGAAGCTTACAAATATGAGGTTGCGGTTTCAAATCTCGTATGATGCATTTTTTCTATTTCTTTTTGTTACTAATTTTCTTTCCTTTTTTGAAAATCGGGATTGGACTTTTCATACATTTTGGATAACTTAATCTCTAAATTTTTTCTAACTTAATTCAAATCTATAAATAAGACTCTTATTTGTCATAAAAATTCTTCCACAATTTTACAATCTCTCACAATTTCACTCATTCACACACACTTTATTTTTTTTTTGCAAATTTCTTCTTCTTTCAAAATTTTCTTTTTAATACTGTTAGGGATATTTTTGTTTTGGCTAATGATTTCATATGAGACCTCCCTCTAATTTTCAATTCTATTTTTTTAATTGGTTTGTTATTTTAACCATATGATGATGATCTCATGATCTAGTTGTTTTCAAAAATTATTTCTCGACAAAATTAACTATTCTCTCAATTCACAATTGCACACAAACCACACACATTCAATACACACCATCCAAATTTGTACACAGTTATAGAGAATTTATGCTTTTGGTTTTGGTTCATCTTACTTATAAACATCATAATAGATTCATGTAAATATATGAATTATCACTATTTTTTTTGTTTACGTTAACATTTTCCTAACTTATATGTGATTACAACTCATGATGTTTGTTATTAGTATTATCTTGGTAAATATACAGAATATCCCTAATTTAATTGTTAAAAAAAAATTAACAAATTAGTTCTTGAAATCAATTTGTGTTATAAAACTTATATACAACATCATCACATCTTCAATTCATATGTCATTATTACTCTAATATTTGATATATTGTATCTAATGCCAACTAACAAATTGCAGGGTTTATGAACTTTATCTCTAATAAGCTTTGATTTCTACTTTATCTAGTCACTACCAACAAAGAGAAAAAAATAAACGATATCACAAATCAAAGAAACAAGAAAAGGAAGCAGCTCGGCCGCAAACCCGCCGATCTTAATCAACAACCTGGAAAACAACATTATAACAAAACATCACAAGCTGAACAGAGCCCTCCACCGATGTAGCCAACCCAATCGGCCTTCGCCGACGCCACCGCAAGATCCGACGAATCTAGAGTCCGACGGCGAGAACTGCACACGCAACTCAGCTGATGAAAACATCGATGAGAGTCCTCCATTTCGCACAGAACAACAACGTCGCCGGAGATCCACCATTGAAACTGCCACGACCCGACCGTCTCCCTTTCAAATCCGGAGACAACCGCAGTCGCCTCTGTGCAATCATCATGATTCCGCTCAGATTTGCAAAATCATTCTCCGTTAGCATCCTCCGGTTTGTTTTCCATTCTACTTTTTATTCACATGGTTAAATTAAGACATGTTTGATTAAATGAATTTGTGTATGAGATTTATGGGTATTGGTTTTGTTTGGAAAGAAATTGAAAAGAGAGATTGTGAAGGTAGAAAACAGAATACCGTGAGGGAGGAAGGGATAATTTGGGATCAGTAATTTTTCTCTATGTTTTATTGTTACTTATATTATTTCTATTATTATTATTAGTTTATTTTTAGTTTTTAGGATTAACTTTAACAAATATTGAAATGGACCTTAGGTCATATATTGATCTAATAACGACACCCCTTGTTAATTTAGCACCACCTTTAATTTAGTTATTTCTTTTATTTATTTATTTAATTTCTCTAAAAAATATATATTATTAAAAAAATACAAAAAACTATTTAATTTCGACATATTACCAGTAATCGAATTCACATCCTCGAGTAATTAGTGGTAGACTTAACGTTTACCAATTAATTATTAAAAATACAAAATATATTTTATTGGATTATTTAGTTAAATCTATTTTCTAATTAATTAAAACCTTTTTCTTAAATTAAGTTAATTCAATATTTTACAAAGATATTAAAAACCACGCAATTCACCAGTGGACGACACGTGGCCAATATTTGACCATGTGATGAGGAAAACTTTATCAGATTCCCTCCGCCTCCTCCATGACGAGCAACGCATGGCCAATATTTGGCCAGGTGATGAGGAGACTATATCAGACTCCCTCGCTCTATGCCTTACCATACACACCATCAATTCAAAATTCAAAACAACTAACCAACGATCAAATCATTTTTTTACTAACTTAATCAAAACCCCAAGATATTTTCGAAAAAGGATTAAGGAGAATTATTTTCAAATTAACTGCGAACTATGTCTACACTCACACAATTTTCAACCCAGACAAGGTTCAAGGATAACTCAAAATTAATTCTACATAATCTTATAAAAAACACCAACCAAACTGCGAACTATGAATTGGGACTCTAATTCCTCATAAGAAGATATGTAGGCATACGACTAAAATGGTAGTGAGTTCCCCTAATAAAAAACTAAAACTCTATTCCCTAAAGATTAATTCTAAACCTAGTATCCTTGTGAACAAGGTAGATGAGGGGTGCCTAACACCTTCCCTTCGTCTAAAACCGAGTAAAAAAACTTAGAATCTCTGATTTTTTAGGGTTAACCTTTATATTTCCTTCCTTAGGATAAAAATTAAGGGTGCAAATCTTATTTTAAAATTGGTTACAACAGCTGACGACTTCACTGGGGACTCAACCCTAGGTTTAGAAGCCTTGTCTTTTGGTTTTAAGCCTTTTCTTATTTTTTGAGTTTTTTATATTTGTTTATTTAACTGTTTATTTATTCATTTATTTATCTATTGTCTTTTGGTTTTAAGCCTTTTCATATTGTTATATCTATGGTGAGATTTAAATTTTGCAAAAAATATTTTCAAAAACGCTTAGAAAGAAGGTTCGTCTATTAGCCAAAGAGATACATCAGCCCTATGAGTTTATGTGACGACTTCGCCTAGAGTCGGTGGAATTCCGCAAAAGAAATAGGTCTCAAGAGACATCCTCTTGGGAAGTACGACTTTTGAATGACACCTATGACTCTTTGTACAACCTTCAAACCAAAATATCATGATGAGACCTTTCATGACCTAGAGACGAAAGTTTCGGTCTGCGAAGAGGCTCCACTTAAGGGAGACCCTTATGCCTTTCCCTCTAGTGTTATTCATGATACCCTTAAGGAAACCCCCTTAAGGGGTGAGTAGAATATTCATAGGCCAATACTAGGAACCTACCAACTAAGGATACCTCTCACAAATCTCACTAAAATCTAAAAAACCCGCAAGGGTTATCTTTTCTTCCACTGCTATCTTTAGCCCATAGGGCTTCCATCTATGTCATAATCCCTAGCTTGTGGGGATTTCTCATCGTCTTTCATTAGACCATAATCCTAAATAAATTCCCGCCCGTCTCAATCTCTGAGACAATGTAGGATATATCATATCCATGTCTATCGTTATCTACGTCCTTAAGGAGTTCCTACCTGTCTCAATCTCTGAGTCACTGTAGGACATCATCATTTCCATATCTACCATTAAACATGTATTGGGTATCCC